GCTTGCCTGGTCCAAGAGCTTGCCTGGTCCAAGAGCTTGCGTGGTCCAGGAGCTTGCCTTGTCTAGGAGCTTGCTTGGTCTAGGAGCTTGCCTGGTCCAAGAGCTTGCCTGGTCCAGGAGCTTGCCTGGTCCAAGAGCTTGCCTGGTCCAGGAGCGTGCCTGGTCCACGAGTTTGCCTGGTCCAGAAGCTTGCCTCGTCCAGGAGCTTGCCTGGTCTAGGAGATTGCATGGTCCAGGAGCGTGCCTGGTCCAGGAGCTTCCCTGGTCCGGGAGCTATCCTGGTCCAGGAGCTTGCCTGGTCCAGGAGCTTGCCAGGTCTAGGAGCTTGCCTGTTCCACGAGCATTCCTGGTCCAGGAGCTTGCCTTGTCTAGGAGCTTTCTTGGTCTGTTAGCTTGCCTGGTCCATGAGCTTGCCTAGTCCATGAGATTTCCTGGTCCAAGAGCTTGCCAAGTCCAGGAGCTTGCCTGGTCCAGGAGCTTGCCTGGTCCAGGAGCTTGCGTGGTCCAATAGCTTGCTTGGTCCAGAAGCCTGCCTGGTCCAAGAGCGTGCCTGGTCCAAGAGCTTGCGTGGTCTAGGAGCTAGCGTGGTCCAGGAGCTTTTCCTGGTCCAAGAGCTTGCCTGGTCCAAGAGCTTTCGTGGTCCAGGAACTTGCTTGGTCCAGGAGCTTGCCTGGTCTAGGAGCTTGCCTGGTCCAGGAGCTTGCATGGTCCAGAAGCGTGCCTGATCCACGAGTTTGCCTGGTCCTGAAGCTTGCCTGGTCCAGGAGCTTGCCTGGTCTAGGAGCTTGCATGGTCCAGGAGCATGCCTGGTCCAGGAGCTTGCCTGGTCCAGGAGCTATCCTGGTCCAGGAGCTTGCCTGGTCCAGGAGCTTGCCTATTCCATGAGCGTGCCTGGTCCAGGAGCTTGCCTTGTCCAGGAGCTTTCTTGGTCCGTTAGCTTGCCTCGTCCACGAGCGTGCCTGATCCACGAGCTTGCCTGGTCCAAGAGCGTGCCTGGACCAGGAGTGTGCCTGGTCCACGAGCGAGCCTGGTCCAGGAGCTTGCCTGGTCCCGGAGCTTTCGTGGTCCAGGAGCTTGCCTGGTCTGGAAGCTTGCCTGGTCCAAGAGCTTGCCTGGTCCTCGAGCCTGCCTGGTCCAAGAGCTTGCGTGGTCTAGGAGCTTTCGTGGTCCAGAAGCTTGCGTGGTCCAGGAGCTTGCCTGGTCCAAGAGCTTGCCTGGTCCAAGAGCTTGCGTGGTCTAGAAGCTTGCCTGGTCTACGAGCTTGCCTGGTCTAGCAGCTTGCCTGGTCCAGGAGCTTGCTTGGTCCAGGAGCGTGCTTGGTCCACGAGTTTGCCTGGTCTAGAAGCTTGCCTGGTCCAAGAGCTTGCCTGGTCTAGGAGCTTGCATGGTCCAAGAGCGTGCCTAGTCAAGGAGCTAGCGTGGTCCAGGAGCTATCCTGGTCCAGGAGCTTGCGTGGTCCAGGAGCTTGCCTGGTCCAGGTTGGTGCCTGGTCCACGAGTTTGCTTGGTCCAGAAGCTTGCCTGGTCCAAGAGCTTGCCTGGTCTAAGAGCTTGCATGGTCCTGGAGCGTGCCTGGTCCAAGAGCTTGCCTGGTCCAAGAGCTATCCTGGTCCAGGAGCTTGCCTGGTCCAGAAGCTTGCCTGGTCCAGGAGCTTGCCTGTTCGAGGAGCGTGCTTGGTCCAAGAGCTTGCCTGGTCCAAGAGCGTGTATGGTCCACGAGCGTGCCTGGTCCATGAACTTGCCTGGTCAGGAGCTTGCCTAGTCAAAGAGCTTGCCTGGTCCAAGAGCTTGCCTGGTCCAGGAGCTTGCCTGGTCCAGGAGCTTGCTTGGTTCAAGAGCTTGCCTGGTCTAGGAGCTTGCCTGGTCCAGGAGCTTGCCTTGTCCAGGTTCGTGCCTGGTCCACGAGTTTGCTTGGTCCAGAAGCTTTCCTGGTCCAGGAGCTTGCCTGGTCTAAGAGCTTGCATGGTTCAGGAGCGTGCGTGGTCCAAGAGCTTGCTTGGTCCAGGAGCTATCCTGGTCCAGGAGCTCGCCTGGTCCAGGAGATTGCCTGGTCCAAGAGCTTGCCTGTTCCAGGAGCGTGCCTGGTCCAAGAGCTTGCCTAGTCCAAGAGCGTGCATGGTCCACGAGCGTGCCTAGTCCAGGAGCTTGCTTGGTCTAGGAGCTTGCCTGGTCAAGGAGCTTGCCTGGTCCAGGAGCTTGCCTGGTCCAGGAGCTTGCCTTGTCCACGAGCCTGCCTGGTCCAAGAGCTTGCCTCGTCCGGGAGCGTGCACGGTCCACGAGCATGCCTGGTCCAGGAGTTTGCCTGGTCCAGGAGCTTGCGTGGTACAATAGCTTGCTTGGTCCAGAAGCCTGCCTGGTCCAAGAGCTTGCCTGGTCCAAGAGCGTGCCAGGTCCAAGAGCTTGCGTGATCCAGGAGCTTGCGTGGTCGAGGAGCTTGCCTGGTCCAGGAGCTTCCCTGGTCCAGGAGCTTGCCTGGTCCAAGAGCTTGCCTGGTCCAAGAGCTTGCGTGGTCCAGGAGCTTGCCTGGTCCAGGAGCTTGCTTGGTCTAGGAGCTTGCCTGGTCCAAGAGCTTGCCTGGTCCAGGAGCTTGCCTGGTCAAAGAGCTTGCCTGGTCCAGGAGTTTGCCTGGTCCAAAAGCTTGCCTCGTCCAAGAGCTTGCCTGGTCTAGGAGATTGCATGGTCCAGGAGCGTGCCTGGTCCGGGAGCTTGCCTGGTCCACGAGCTATCCTGGTCCAGGAGCTTGCCTGGTCCAGGAGCTTGCCAGGTCCAGGAGCTTGCCTGTTCCACAAGCATTCCTCGTCCAGGAGCTTGCCTTGTCTAGGAGTTTTCTTGGTCCGTTAGCTTGCCTGGTCCAGGAGCTTGCCTTGTCCAGGAGCTTGCCTGGTCCAGGAGCTTGCGTGAACCAATAGCTTGCTTGATCCAGAAGCCTGCCTGGTCCAAGAGCTTGCCTGGTCCACGAGCGTGCCTGGTCCAAAAGCTTGCGTGGTCTAGGAGCTCGCGTGGTCCAGGAGCTTGCCTGGTCCAAGAGCTTGCCTGGTCCAGGAGCTTTGCCTGGTCCAAGAGCTTGCCTGGTCCAAGAGCTTGCGTGGTCCAGGAGCTTGCCTGGTCCAGGAGCTTGCCTGGTCTAGGAGCTTGCCTGGTCCAAGAGCTTCCTTGGTCCAGAAGCATGTCTGGTCCACGAGTGGGCCTGGTCCAGAAGCTTGCCTGGTCCAGGAGCTTGCCTGGTCTAGGATCTTGCATGGTCCAGGAGCGTGCCTGGTCCAGGAGCTTGCCTAGTCCAGGAGCTATCCTGGTCCAGGAGCTTGCTTGGTCAAGGAGCTTGCCTGTTCCAGGAGCTTGCCTGTTCAAGGAGCTTGCCTGGTCCAGGAGCTATCCTGGTCTAGGAGCTTGCCTGGTCCAGGAGCTTGCGTGGTCCAAGAGCTTGCCTTGTCCAGGAGCTTTCTTGGTCCGTGAGCTTGCCTGGTCCAGGAGCTTGCCTTGTCCAGGAGCTTGCCTGGTCCAAGAGCTTGCCTGGTCCAAGAGCTTGCGTGGTCCAGGAGCTTGCCTGGTCTAGGAGCTTGCCTGTTCCAGGAGCTTGCCTGGTCCAGGAGCTATCCTGGTCTAGGAGCTTGCCTGGTCCAGGAGCTTGCCTGGTCCAGGAGCTTGCGTGGTCCAAGAGCTTGCCTGGTCCAGGAGCTTGCCTGGTCCAGGAGCGTGTCTGGTCCACGACTTTGCCTGGTCCAGAAGCTTGCCTGGTTTAGGAGCTTGCCTGGTCTAGGAGCTTGCATGGTCCAGGAGTGTGCCTGGTCTAGGAGCTTGCCTGGTCCAGGAGCTATCCTGTTCCAAGAGCTTGCCAGGTTCAAGAGCTTGCCTGGTCCAGGAGCTTGCCTGTTCGAAGAGCGTGCCTGGTCCAAGAGCTTGCCTGGTCCAAGAGCGAGCATGGTCCACGAGCGTGCCTGGTCGAGGAACTTGCCTGGTCAAGGAGCTTGCCTGGTCAAGGAACTTGCCTGGTCCTGGAACTTGCCTGGTCCAAGAGCTTGTCTGGTTCATGAGCTTGTCTGGTCTAGGAGCTTGCCTGGTCCAGGAGCTTGCCTGGTCCAGAAGCGTGCCTGGTCCACGAGTTTGCCTGGTCCAGAAGCTTGCGTGGTCCAGGAGCTTGCTTGGTCTAGGAGCTTGCATGGTCCAGGAGCGTGCCTGGTCCATGAGCTTGCCTGTTCCGGGAGCTATCCTAGTCCAGGAGCTTGCCTAGTCCAGGAGCTTGCCTGGTCCAAGAGCTTGCTTGTTCCAGGAGCGTGCCTGGTCCAAGAGCTTTCCTGGTCCAAGAGCGTGCATGGTCCACGAGCGTGCATGGTCCAGAAGCTTGCCTGGTCCAGGAGCTTGCCTGGTCAAGGAGCTTGCCTGGTCCAGGAGCTTGCCTGGTCCAGGAGCTTGCCTTGTCCAGGAGCTATCCTGGTTCAGGAGCTTGCCTAGTCAAGGAGCTTGCCTGGTCCAGGAGCTTGCCTGGTCCAGGAGCTTGCGTGGTCCACGAGCCTGCCTGGTCCAAGAGCTTGCCTGGTCCAGGAGCGTGCATGGTCCACGAACGTGCCTAGTCCAGGAGTTTGCCTGGTCCAGGAGCTTGCCTGGTCCAGGAGCTTGCATGGTCCAACCTCTTGCTTGGTCCAAAAGCCTGCCTGGTCCAAGAGCTTGCCTGGTCCAGGAGCGTGCCTGGTCCAAGAGCTTGACTTATCCAGGACCTTGCGTGGTCGAGGAGCTTGCCTGGTCAAGGAGCTTGCCAGGTCCAGGAGCTTGCCTGGTCCAAGAGCTTGCCTGGTCCAAGAGCTTGCGTGGTCCAGGAGCTTGCCTTGTCCAGGAGCTTGCCTGGTCTAGGAGCTTGCCTGGTCTAGGAGCTTGCCTGGTCTAGGAGCGTGCGTGGTCCACGAGTTTGCCTGGTCCAGAAGCTTGCCTCGTCCAGGAGCTTGCCTGGTCTAGGAGCTTGCATGGTCCAGGAGTGTGCCTGGTCCAGGAGCTTGCCTTGTCCAGGAGCTATCCTGGTTCAGGAGCTTGCCTAGTCAAGGAGCTTGCCTGGTCCAGGAGCTTGCCTGGTCCAGGAGCTTGCGTGGTCCACGAGCCTGCCTGGTCCAAGAGCTTGCCTGGTCCAGGAGCGTGCATGGTCCACGAACGTGCCTAGTCCAGGAGTTTGCCTGGTCCAGGAGCTTGCCTGGTCCAGGAGCTTGCATGGTCCAACCTCTTGCTTGGTCCAAAAGCCTGCCTGGTCCAAGAGCTTGCCTGGTCCAGGAGCGTGCCTGGTCCAAGAGCTTGACTTATCCAGGACCTTGCGTGGTCGAGGAGCTTGCCTGGTCAAGGAGCTTGCCAGGTCCAGGAGCTTGCCTGGTCCAAGAGCTTGCCTGGTCCAAGAGCTTGCGTGGTCCAGGAGCTTGCCTTGTCCAGGAGCTTGCCTGGTCTAGGAGCTTGCCTGGTCTAGGAGCTTGCCTGGTCTAGGAGCGTGCGTGGTCCACGAGTTTGCCTGGTCCAGAAGCTTGCCTCGTCCAGGAGCTTGCCTGGTCTAGGAGCTTGCATGGTCCAGGAGTGTGCCTGGTCCAGGAGCTTGCCTAGTCCAGGAGCTATCCTGGTCAAGGAGCTTGCCTGGTCCAGGAGCTTGCCTGGTCCACGAGCGTCCACGTCCATGTCCAAGTCCACGTCCTTGTCTACGTCCACGTCCACGTCCATGTCCACGTCCACGTCCACGTCCACGTCCATGTCCACGTCCACGTCCACGTCCACGTCCATGTCCACGTCTACGTCCATGTCCACGTCCACGTCCACGTCCACGACCACGTCCACGTCTACGTCCACATCCACGTCCACGTCTAAGTCCATGTCCACGTCCACGTCCACGTCCACGTCCACATCCACGACCATGTCTTCGTCCACGTCCACGTCCACGTCCACGTCCACGTCCACGTCCACGTCGACGTCCAGGTCCACGTCGATGTCCAGGTCCACGTCCACGTCCACGTCCACGTCCACGTCCACGTCCACGTCCGCGTCCACGTCCACGTCCACGTCCGCGTCCGTCAACGTCCGCGTCCACTTCCACGTCCACGTCCACGTCCACGCACGTCCACGTCCACGTCCACGCACGTCCGCGTCCACGTCCACGTCCACGTCCGCGTCCGTCCACGTCCACGTCCACGTCCACGTCCACGCACGTCGACGTCCACGTCCACGTCTACGTCCCCTCCACGTCCACGTCCACGTCCACGTCCACGTCCATCTCCACGTCCACGTCCACGTCCACGTCCACGTCCAGGTCCACGTCCACGTCCACGTCCACGTCCACGTCCACGTCCACGTCCACGTCCACGTCCACGTCCACGTCCAAGTCCACGTCCACGTCCACGACCACGTCCACGTCCACGTCCACGTCCACGTCCACGACAATGTCTTCGTCCACGTCCACGTCCACGTCCACGTCCACGTCCACGTCCACGTCACGTCCACCTCCACGTCCACGTCCACGTCCACGACCAGGTCCACGTCCACGTCCACGTCCACGTCCACGTCCATGTCCACGTCCACGTCCATGTCCACGTCCACGTCCACGTCCACGTCCATGTCCACGTCCACGTCCACGTCCACGTCCATGTCCACGTCCAAGTCCTCCACGTCCACGTCCACGTCCACGTCCATGTCCACGTCCAAGTTCTCCACGTCCACGTCCACCTCTACGTCCACGTCCATGTCCACGTCCACGTCCATGTCCACGTCCACGTCCACCATTTTCTCTACATATTTGCGTTAGTTACCTTTCAAACCCTTACGTTCACTAGATGAATTTATTTCCTTCCTTCTATTTGAGTGAGACCACTAGATTTCGTGTACTATGCGAGATCTGAGCAGTTCCGTTCTCCCAGGCATTTGCACTCTAAGTTCCCATACTGACCGACCTGGCCAATGCACCATTTTCCATATACATACGCATTAGATTCCGTTCGAACCTTATTAGCTCACTAGATTTATATATTTCCCACCTTCTGATCGAGTGAGACCGCTAGATTCCCTTTACTTTTTGAGAAATGAGCGTTTCCGTTCTCCTTGGCCCTACTTGCACTATAAGTGCGAAATGCCGGCCAGACTGGCCGATGCACCATTTTCTCTACACATGTGCGTTAGTTACCTTTCAAACCCTTACGTTCACTAGATGAATTTATTTCCTACCTTCTTTTTGAGTGAGACCACTAGATTCCGTGTGCTATGCGAGATCTGAGCGCTTCCGTTCTCCCAGGCATCTGCACTCCAAGTTCCTATACTGACCGACCTGGCCAATGCACCATCTTCCATATAAATATGCTTTAGATTTCTTTCAAACCTTATTAGCTCACTAGATTTATATATTTCCCACCTTGTGATCGAGTGAGACCGCTAGATTCCCTCTACTTTTTGAGAAATGAGCGTTTCCGTTCTCCTTGGCCCTAGTTGCACTATAAGTGCGAAATGCCGGCCAGACTGGCCGATGCACAATTTTCTCTACACATGTACGTTAGTTACCTTTCAAACCCTTACGTTCACTAGATGAATATATTTCCTACTTTCTATTTGAGTGAGACCACTTGATTCCGTGTACTATGCGAGATCTGAGCGCTTCCGTTCTCCCTGGCATTTGCATTTTAAGTTCCGATACTGACCGACCTGGCCAATGCACCATTTTCTCTATACATGTGCGTTGAATACATTTCAAACCTTTTTAGCTGACTAGATTTATATATTTCCCACCTTCTGATCGAGTGAGACCGTTAGATTCCCTTTACTTTTTGAGAAACGAGCGTTTTCGTTCTCCCTGACCCCACCTGCACTATGAGTGCGAAATGCCGGCCAGACTTGCGGATGCACCATTTTCTCTACACATGTGCGTTAGTTACCTTTCAAACCCTTACGTTCACTAGATGAATATACTTCCTACCTTATATTTGAGTGAGACCACTAGATTCCGTGTATTATGCGAGATATGAGCGGTTCCGTTCTCTGAGGCATTTGCACTCTAAGTTCCCATACTGACCGACCTGGCCAATGCACCACTTTTCATATACATATGCATTAGATTCCTTCCGAACCTTATTAGCTCACTATATTTATAAGGGCCTAAACCGTGAGAGCGCACAGTGGGATCAGCATCAGCAGCAGGGGCAGGAGAGGCGCCAGAAGTGAGGTCAAAGAGAGAGAGGCCGTCTGCCCTATCGCACTGTAAAAACAACTGCAGGTCGTCGACCCAGACCTCAAAGTCAATGGCGCGACCCTCAGCGTCAAAAGCTAGGACACTAGGGGTAGCCATGACGACGACAGCGAAGCAGTGCAAGCAGTAGGGGAAGAGCACGCAGTGACAGTGGGACTGTGCTCACCAGGCAGGGCAGCGCTGCAGAAGGGCGGCTCGGCAACTCAGCGACTCGGCTGCTGGGCGGCTCGGCTTCCGGGCGGCTCGGTGTCGGGCGGCTCGGGTGCAGGGCGGCTCGGCTCCCGGGCGGCTCGGCGGCAGGGCGGCTCGGCTGCACCGCTGCTCGGCTGCTGCAGGTGGGCGGCTCGGCTGCTGCAGGTAGGGTGACGGGGCCGTGAGACCAGGGGCGGCGGGGCCGGCGAAGCAGGGCCGGCAGGGGGGACGGCGGGGCCGCGTCTGAGCGGGCGGCAGGGCCGCGGCTGAGCAGGCGGCGGGGCCGCGTAGTAGTGGGCGGCGGGGCCGGGGCTGAGCAGGCGGCGGGGCCGCGTCAAAGCGGGCGGCGGGGCCGCGTCAAAGCAGGTGGCGGGGCCGCGTCGTAGTGGGCGGCGGGGCCGGGGCTGAGCAGGCGGCGGGGCCGCTTCAAAGCGGGCGGCGGGGCCGCGTCAAAGCATGCGGCGGGGCCGCGTCGAAGCAGGCGGCGGGGCCGCGTCAAAGCAGGCGGCGGGGCCGAGTCAGAGCAGACGGCGGGGCCGCGTCAAAGCGGGCGGCGGGGCCGCGTCGTAGCGGGCGGCGGGGCCGCGTCTGAGCAGGCGGCTGGGCCACGTCTGAGCGGGCGGCAGGGGCCGCGTCTGAGCGGGCGGCGGGGCCGCGTCGTAGCGGGCGGCGGGGCCGCGGCTGAGTAGGTGGCGGGGCCGCGTCTGAGCAGGCGGCGGAGCCGCAATCAAAATGGGCGGCGGGGCCGCGTCTGAAGGGGCGGCAGGGCCGCGAGGGAAGGGCGACACGGAGGGTCGCTCGAGCGAGAGGAAAAAAAAAGCTAGCGCGCCTCAAGGCGCGCTTCGGTGGGCCCTAGGTAAAGTTCCCACAGGGAACCCGCTCTATACCATGTGAAACTTGTAAAACAGGAATGAATGACTAAGTCAAGGTTGGGTACAAATACAACCCTAGAAAGCTGTACCCCATATGTGCTACCCCACTATAGCCTACAAACATGCATCAGCTATAGTAATCTGACACTACCTTCTATTTGAGTGAGACCACTAGATTCCGTGTACTATGCGAGATCTGAGCGTTTCCGTTCTCCCTGGCATTTGTACTCTAAGTTCCCATACTGACCGACCTGGCCAATGCACCATTTTCTATATACATATGCATTATATTCCTTTCGAACCTTATAAGCTCACTAGATTTATATATTTCCCACCTTCTGATCAAGTGAGACCGCTAGATTCCCTTTAGTTTTGAGAAATGAGCGTTTCCGTTCTCCTTGGCCCTACTTGCACTATAAGTGCGAAATGCCAGCCAGACTGGCCGATGCACCATTTTCTCTACACATGTGCGTTAGTTACCTTTCAAACCCTTACGTTCACTAGATGAATTTATTTCCTACCTTCTATTTGAGTGAGACCACAAGATTCCGTGTACTATGCGAGATCCGAGCGTTTCCATTCTCTCTGGCATTTGCACTCTAAGTTCCCATACTGACCGACCTGGCCAATGCACCATTTTCCATATACATATGCATTAGATTCCTTTCGAACCTTATAAGCTCACTAGATTTATATATTTCCCACCTTCTGATCGAGTGAGACCGCTAGATTCCCTCTACTTTTTGAGAAATGAGCGTTTCCGTTCTCCTTGGCCCTAGTTGCACTATAAGTGCGAAATGCCGGCCAGACTGGCCGATGCACCATTTTCTCTACACATGTGCGTTAGTTACCTTTCAAACCCTTACGTATACTAAAAATTTATTTCCTACCTTCTATTTGAGTGAGACCACTAGATTCCGTGTACTATGCGAGATCTGAGCGCTTCCGTTCTCCCTTGGCATTTGCACTCTAAGTTCCCATACTGACCGACCTGGCCAATGCACCATTTTCCATATACATATGCATTAGATTCCTTTCGAACCTTATTAGCTCACTAGATTTATATATTTTCCACCTTCTGATCTAGTGAGACCGCTAGATTCTCTTTACTTTTTGAGAAATGAGGGTTTCCGTTCTCCTTGGCCCTACTTGCACTATAAGTGCGAAATGCCGGCCAGACTGGCCGATGCACCATTTTCTCTACACATGTGCGTTAGTTACCTTTCACACCCTTACGTTCACTAGATGAATATATTTCCTACTTTCTATTTGAGTGAGACCACTTGATTCCGTGTACTATGCGAGATCTGAGCGCTTCCGTTCTCCCTGGCATTTGCATTTTAAGTTCCGATACTGACCGACCTGGCCAATGCACCATTTTCTCTATACATGTGCGTTGAATACATTTCAAACCTTTTTAGCTGACTATATTTATATATTTCCCACCTTCTGATCGAGTGAGACCGTTAGATTCCCTCTACTTTTTGAGAAACGAGCGTTTCCGTTCTCCCTGGCCCCACCTGCACTATGAGTGCGAAATGCTGGCCAGACTGGCGGATGCACCATTTTCTCTACACATGTGCGTTAGTTACCTTTCAAACCCTTACGTTCACTAGATGAATATATTTCCTACCTTATATTTGAGTGAGACCACTAGATTCCGTGTATTATGCGAGATCTGAGCGGTTCTGTTCTCCCAGGCATTTGCACTCTCAGTTCCCATACTGACCGACGTGGCCAATGCACCACTTTCCATATACATATGCATTAGATTCCTTCCGAACCTTATGAACTCACTAGATTTATATATTTCCCACCTTCTGATTGAGTGAGACCGCTAGATTCCCTTTACTTTTTGAGAAATGAGCGTTTCCGTTCTCCTTGGCCCTACTTGCACTATAAGTGTGAAATGCCGGCCAGACTGGCCGATGCACCATTTTCTCTACACATGTGCGTTAGTTACCTTTCAAACCCTTAAGTTCACTAGATGAATTTATTTCCTACCTTCTATTTGAGTGAGACCACTAGATTCCGTGTACTATGCGAGATCTGAGCGCTTCCGTTCTCCCTGGCATTTGCACTCTAAGTTCCCATACTGACCGACCTGGCCAATGCACCATTTTCCATATACATATGCATTAGATTCCTTTTGAACCTTATTAGCTCACTAGATTTATATATTTCCCACCTTCTGATCGAGTGAGACCGCTAGATTCCCTTTACTTTTTGAGAAATGAGCGTAGCCATTCTCCTTGGCCCTACTTGCACTATAAGTGCGAAATGCCGGCCAGACTGGCCAATGCACCATTTTCTCTACACATGTGCGTTAGTTACCTTTCAAACCCTTACGTTCACTAGATGAATTTATTTCCTACCTTCTATTTGAGTGAGACCACTAGATTCCGTTTACTATGCGAGATCTGAGCGCTTCCGTTCTCCCTGGCATTTGCACTCTAAGTTCCCATACTGACCGACCTGGCCAATGC